CTGACACACACGGTGCTTTAAGACCCAGCGCCCGCATGACTGTCATCTTTGGATTAGCAAGGTCTTCAAACCTTTTTTGGCCTTAACTAAGGAGGGAGAAACCCCAAGAAAGCTCAGCTAGGGAGGGGTCAAGAAGGGAAGTTGCCAGGAAGGGCTACAGGGTCCCCAGCCCACCGTATCCCGCCTGCCAGGACCCCCGGCGCTACGAGGAATGGAAGTGGTTCCGCTGCCCCACGCTGCTGGAGGTGCTGGAGCAGTTCCCGTCTGTGGCCCTGCCTGCGCCCCTGCTCCTCACCCAGCTGCCTCTGCTCCAGCCCCGGTACTACTCCGTCAGCTCGGCGCCCAGTGTCCACCCAGGGCAGATCCACCTCACTGTAGCCGTGCTGGCCTACAGGACCCAGGGTGAGGCTGGGCGTGGGGCAGGCTGGCCACAGCAGGGCCAGGCCGGGCCCCTCACAGGCCCCTCACCGGCCTCTCCTCCCATCCCCTAGATGGGCTGGGCCCCCTGCACTATGGCGTTTGCTCCACATGGCTAAGCCAGCTCAAGGCTGGAGACCCCGTGCCCTGCTTCATCAGGGGGTAAGTTAGCACTGCGGGGCCCGGTGGTGGGGGTGCTGTCTGGCCAAGTAGGAGCAGGGAAAGAGCCACATGGATGGCTGAGGCCAGATGGGGGACTCAGTGAGGCGCTGCACAGGGGCAGGGTGGTAGCTTTGGTAAGGAGTGTTACTGGAAGCAGGGGGGACCATACCAAGAATGGGGTGTCATTAGGTCACTTCAGAACTTTGGCTAAGCTTTGGACCTCTTGCTAACTTAAACTCGGGGTCCTGCCCTGAAACTACAGCTCCCAGAGACAGAGGCGGGACTAGACCTGCTGGCCCTGTTGCATTTTGAAAGTGTAGCTTCTGTGTTTCTATGTCCTTGGGTTCATTGTGATGTTGGAAGGCATGGCATCTAGCAACTATGGTCCCCAAGTCTTCACTCAATCCAGGGAGGGCTAGTTAGGATAGAGACCACCTTTGGCCATAATGTCACTGAGGAGTCAAAGAAGGTGAAGGAGCTCGTGCTGTGTCCAGAAGTCCTGCCCCCTCTAGGAGCCAGGAGCCAAAAGTCTCAGAAGGACTGAGAAGAGTTCCCAGGATGGCACCAGCTAGGCCCAGTGACCCAATCCCACCCAGGAGGCTAAATTACAAATAAGCGGTACCAATCTACTGAAT